GTAACCACAAACTTCTGCTGAACACTAACACTACATTTTTAAACCTACCCATACCTCTTCGACCCCATTGCCTATGCTCTCATTAGCCCATCTATCCTCCAATAGCTGTTTATATCTTACCCTAACTGCCTCCTCTTTTAGTTTATAAACCTTCACCTCTCTCTTCCCTGATGCTTCTATTCTCCTTGTATCCCATCTACCTTTTACTCTCAGTGTAGCTACAACTAGAAAGTTATCTGATATATCTGTGGCCCCTCTATAAACATGTACATCCTGAAGTCTACTCAACAGTCTTTTATCTACCAATACATAATCGAACAAACTACTGTCATTTCGCCCTACATCATATCTTGTATACTTATTTATCCTCTTTTTCTTAAAATATGTATTACCTATAACTAAACCCCTTTCTATACAAAGTTAAAATCAAAGGGCTCCCATTAATCTTTTTACACCTGGCACCCCAAACTTACCTACCACACCCTCACTAAAAGTTTCTCCTTACTTTAGCATTCAGGTTTCCTACCACAATTTACTGTCTCACTTGGTTCAAAGGCTTCCTATACATTCATTAACATCTCCCAAAATCTCTCCTCCCTCTGGCATTCCTCTTTTCCTCCAGGTGCATACACGCTTATTATGCCCCACTTTTCCCGCATCCAACCTTTTACTTTAATCCACATAATTCTTAAATTTTTTACACATTCATATTCTCTTTTCTCTTCCATAACTGATCCTTCAACATTACTGCTACCCCTTCCTTTGCTCTAACTCTCTCAGATACTCCAGATTTAATCCCATTTATTTCCCCCCACCGAAACTCCCCTACCCCCTTCAGCTTCGTTTCGCTTAGGGCCAGGACATCCAACTTCTTTTCATTCATAACATCAGCAATCATCTGTTTCTTGCCATCTGCACTACATCCACGCACATTCAAGCATCCCAGTTTTATAAAGTTTTTCTTCTCTTTTTTATTTATATGTTCTACATTTAGGAAATTATTAAACAAATTTCCACAGTAGTTGCAGTAACAGCCTGGTTGATCAGACCCTGCAATAAATCCACCATGAGGTCTGGTCTCAGACCGAGCCGCGAGGGTGTTGATCCCCGAAACCCTCTCCAGGTAAGTACCCTGCAATAAATCCACCATACCACAACTAAATAAAAATATGCAAATACAGGCTACCTGCTCTCTGAACTGTTGCTGGTTAAAACTACAGTGCTTATGTATGAATAGTGAAAATGATGTACATAGCCTACATTAGATCCTTAATTGATTATGCTTCGCCCATGTTAATGTTAGGGAAAATTGTCTCCGGCCCTTAAATTATAATAAAAGAAGAAGCGCTAAACCACAAGGGTTGCCAGCCCTTAAAGCAAACATTAACAAACCGAAGCCCTAACAATTATTCTTGGCTGTCAAATCAGCAAGGGCTGCTTTGGGTGCCCCCGTGGCATGGTGACTAAGGCTGTCGCTTCACATGGCGAGTCTGGGTTCGATTCCCAGCGAGGGTAGAAAAATTGGGCGTTTCCTTACACCGGTTGTCTATGTTCCCCATCAGTAAAATATGTACGTCGGTGTTAGTCGACTAGTGTGGGTTGCATCCTGGGACAAAATGAAATAATTTGCCAGAAATTCAAATGTTTATTTCCTTATAAGCTTACAATGTGCGGTTTACATGTTATAAGATATTAATTACAAAGAAGGCCACAGTCTGGTTGATCAGGCTCTGATCCACCAGGAGGCCTGGTCACAGACCGGGCCACGGGGGCGTTGACCCCCGGAACTCTCTCCAGGTAAACTCCAGGTAGCATGCCTAAGTATTTCGGGCATAACAAGCAGCTTGCTATATAGTAGCATGTCAGTGATGTTAGCTAGGTCTGTATACCTTGTACATGTACTTGTAGAAATAAATTAAAAATTAACTAAAAAAAGCTTCTTAATATGAGGAAGGAGCTCTAATGTCAGTGATAGGATTGCTGAGATTAGTATTGTACTTGGTATTATAGTAGTGTGCATATTAATTGGGAGTGAGATGAAATACACTTATTTGGAAAATTAATGTTTATTTGTAAAATACATGGCAATAATATAACAGATAATTGATTTGATAAGAAATACTGCTTTTATAAAAAATGCTACATGCTTTGGCATAGAATCTACTATGTTGAACACAGTTTGCCAAGTTCTTTGTCGATATACCAGGTCTTAATAACAGCAGCAATTAGCTTCTTTACAGCAGAACAGTCCCATTTGCGATCCTGCGTTTGGTTATTGCCCTTAAATTCTCAATTGGGTTGGGGTCAGGAGATTTTCCAGGCCAATTTAGAATGTTTAGCCCACTCTCTTCGAAGAATGTCAGCATTTTTCTGGAATGAAATGTGGCATGGAGCAAGATCCTGCTGGAGAATGCTTTCTCCATCAGGTAAGTCTATCCACAATGGGAAGCAAATGAGTTGTCAAGATTGACTTGTATTTGTCACTGTTCATAGTTCTCTCAACAATAACAAGCCTTCCAGAGCCTTTAGCAGTAAATATACCCCATAACATCTTAGGTGGGTGTCTTGGTGCTTGTTGAATGTGTCCTTTCCGAAGAGGTTCGCCTCTGCTCCATTTCACCACCACCACTGATCTGTACCCATGTACTTCAAAATGCGCCTCGTCTGAAAATATAACTTAGTCTCCATTCATCTGTCGTCCATCCTTTATGATAGTGCCCACTGCAGGCATTTTCTCGTCACAGCGGCAGTCAATAATTGCTTCTTTACCGGCTTTCTGGTAATTCTGCCAACTTCAAGGCACCTTCATCAAACAGTTGGAGAATCAACATTTACACCAGCTGTAGTCAAATCTCTGCAAATCTTTGTGGTTCTCTTGGGATCCTTCACACAATTTCATATAACCTTGTCATTGTGAGTTGTCGTCTTGCATTTTCTTCCACATCTTCCTCGATGCAGTGCTCCACAATCACCAGTGTTTTCAACTTTCTTCAGAATCCGACCAACAGTTGACTTTGCTAGGCTCAAACGTTTGGCAATCTTGTCGGGGGGCAAGGGGGGGGGTTCGTGAGATACTGAAATAAGAAATACACACACTTTGTCTGGAGGAGTATAATTAAGTGTCTTGAGGAGAAGCCTGTAGGGTACCCCAGGAGCCTGCCTGTCTTGTCTATGTCTACCGAGTGGGCTAAGATGACAGAGCAGGGTCTCTGGCCTACAGCTCACGTGATGGGTTTTGTGACGTCATAGCTAGCAAGGTAGCCTTTCCATAAAGTAACTGGGTTTATCTAAGTACTTGTGTAGTAACACAAATACACAGTAACACTGACAATCTATCTGATACTCAAATCAGCATGTTTTCCAAGTTTTAATACTTGTACACTCCCTAGGTGTAACAATCCATCACGAATTTCAGAAGTAATATGAAGGGGAGAATTTGGCATAACCATATTCGCTCATAGGGCACGCTTGCTGGAATAGCCTTACAGAACAATAGCTGTTGTAGCACTGACAGTCGCTGGGTAACACCACAGCTGGTTGGTTGCAAACTCCTCTGAAAAGAAAAGAACCCAAACTACATTAATTAACCTGGAGACTAAGACTTAAGAGATAATCACAAAATTTACTCCTGAAAAATGAAGCATACATTATCACTACAAATATGTCTCTAAACATGGATCTAAATGAACTGTGAAAACATGTGATTATTATTACACATCTGAAATCTCCACCCAAGAAACTCATCACTATTGTCAGCATAGTTGCTGACCTGTATACATGTATATGTTATTTGAGTATCATAGTGCCATCCATACGTTTTACATACACGACCCCTTGCTAGGCTCAGTGACTAGCTTGTATGACATCACGCGATGCTGATGTGAGCGCTACGCTCCATTACAATACCATCCATTAGTTCTAAGTTACATATGTCTTTGCTACTGTATAGAATCAGCCCAGACCCACCTGCCTGTTTAGCCTATAGCATAGTATTGTGTGTCGAGACGACATACGTAACATGACCAAGCTGTCAGCATAGTTGCTGATCCCCTGTATATGTATATGTTATCTGAGTATCATATATAGTCCCATCCATACGTTTTACATACACGACCCCTTGCTAGGCTCAGTGACTAGCTTGTATGACGTCACATGATGCCGATGTGAGCGCTACGCTCCCTGCCCTAGGCCTTAGTTCCCCTTAGTCCTTACAGGACAGGCAGTTTGGGCTCTCCCTTATCAGTCTGCAATATAAGCGTTAACACCCCAACGACTTGTGTAACTCCAACCATCACATCTCCATGAACCCTCTCAACATTGTCCCTTTCCTAAATCACTTGCACAGGAAACTTTTCGCTAAGAAATTTCTCATTTATGTTAATAATAATGTATTACAAATTACTGTACACACACTGATGTATGTAAACAGCTTACTGGTATGGTTGCAAGTGCTCTCGTTGTCACCTCTCTACATAAGAACTAACAATTTAGTTAGATATAAGAATTAACTGGGCGTCAACATTGCAAATTAAATTGCCATCCTAATGGTACTAAACTCATGACACTGAGCTTTATTATAAATACTCCAAATTCAGAAAAAATAGAATTAATGTACAATTTTTTTTTTATTTATATACAGGATTACTTATTAAAAATAAAGATGACAAATTAGCCAAAGAAAGCACCCTGAAGGAAAAGGAAGAATATAAGTGGTACATCCGTGTCTAGCATTAGGAATATTAGGAGACAAATAATGGAAGTGAATGTCTCAGCTATTCAGTTAACAGCCTGAGTAGAACACTCTTACTATAACAAGAACATAGATGGTCACACTAAATCTAAATATTTAGCAAAGTATGAGGGGGGGGGAGGAGTTACGATTATCTCAAATGTGAAGTACGTATTAATCAACTATCTGCAATTACGTTTATTACAAGTTCATGCATATTTTTCCTGCAACCTAGCTAAAATGTAAATTACAAAGTGCTGTAAATAATCACCTTTACGAAGCGAACATTGTCTAATTGTGTGTCAATTAAGATAACATTCGGGAATGGTTGGCACTTTCCTTTCATCAGAACTTCCTGGGAACCACAGTGGCACTGGACCAGCTGGTCCGCACGCTGCTGTATCATCGTCTTGTTGCCCGAAGTCAGGGCTCCAGCTTCTGTCAATGCTGCTACGGTCCCCATAGTCACCATTTGTGTAGTGCTTGTGTTGCCATTCCTTCGTGGAGAACTTGTACTGACGTCTCCTTCAGGGGTAACTTTATCTAGAGCAGCAGGCATGTTTATCAGCTCTTGTGTCACGTTTTCACTGCTTATGTGGATTTCAGTCGGGGTGGGGTAGTAGGAGTCTGTGGTGGGGAGTGCAGAGTCTGTTGAAGACTCGCCTGCTGGCGGTAAAGGTGTCGAAGACGTGCCCACCTGTTCTAATGATTGAGAATTGTCCACTCCAACGATCACCAGCACTACCACTGCCACGCTAAGAGTCACCATCTTCGAAATTAGATTATAAATGTCTGTGTCCTCACCTCACGTCTAGAATTATGCCACTGCCACAAATCACCATTAAATATCAGTCAAAATGTAAGTACCATCCACTACGGAAAGTGAAAGACTCCAGTTCATAATTACAATACTTCCAGCTAACATTTTAGTCATATTGTGACGAACAACAGTTTCCCTTCAAGTCACACACAAAGCAACAAGTTAGTCCGCAATAGGGAAAAGTCCCTATGCGTAGAAAAATTTCTACGAGTTCACAATGGCGAATAGCCTATGTACTTATGCAATAGGACACACACACTACCACACTCTCCGGCGGCCAGAGTGTGACTGTAAGATACCTAAGCTCCAGTGGCTGGACAAACAAGTTCTCCCGGATGAGATGCCTTTTAGTGTTTTCTGACCTCTGAATACATTTATTTCCCTCACCTATAACAATCTTCCCACCCACAATACATGTTTTAGCCACTTTTACATAGTACCGACAGCCCAATGAATTATCTTACATCTCATGACATTCCGTATTAATTAAAACTATACAACACGGAGAAAAATTACTGTTATGCATCTGGCAGTAAGTTCCTGTCTTGTGACGTCATTTCATACCCGTTGTTTACTACAAAAATTAAATACATCGAATTGGACGGCCACTCTAATGTATCTACTTTCGTAGGTTAAACCAAACCTATATATTTAACACCTATTACGTAATTTTTTTTGTTATAGGCCATTTGTATATGGAATCTCGTATACTCATGAGGATACGCAACGTCTGAGTGGGAAGTATATATATCATGTTTGTTCCGAGAAAAGGGAGAGCAGCTCCATTTCCTTCGTTCAGGAGCCCTTCATTACCATTAGACGCCAACCTTACCTGGATGGTGTTCCGAGGGTCAACGCCCCCGCGGCCCGGTCCATGACCAGGCCCTGCGGTGGATCAGGGTCTGATCAACCAAGCTGTTACTACTGGCAACACAAACCGACGTACGAACCACAGCCCGGCTGGTCAGGTAGTGACTAGGTGTCTCTCCAGCTCCCTCTTGACAGTCAGGGGCTATTAGTAATCCCCATTATTTATGCTGGGAGGCAGTTGAACGGTCTTGGGCCCCTGACACTTACCGTGTTGTCTCAGTGTACTCATGCAACCCTGCTTTTCACTGAGATGATGTTGCACACCCTGCAGTCTCTCTTGCTTTCTGAGGGATTGATTTCCGTGTACTGATTTGGGACTAGTCCCTATAGGATTTTCCAAGTGTCCATTATGATGTATCTTTCTCGTCTGCGTTCCAAGGAGTACAGGTCATGGGGCTTTAACCGTTCCTAGCAATTGAGGTACTTTATTGTACTAGTACGTGCAGCGAAAGTTCTCTGTATATTCTCTGGGTATGCAATTTCGCCTGCGTTGAAATGGGCCGTTAGTGTACAGCAGTACCCCAGCCTACAGAGAACAAGGGATTTGAAGAGAATCACTGAAATGAGTTCTCAAAATAGAGCAATCTATTAAGACTGCTAGGTTCCTTTGAAGTTACCTACCCACCCATACACCCACACATGCTCACCTATACCCAATGCCCACCCTTTCACCTATAAGCCACCCAAATATCCAAAGCCCAACCCCACACCCAACAATATCAGTGAGCAGTTCATCCCACAATTTCACAAGGAGTTAGTGATGTAGAGGTTTACACCACCAATAAGATTATGAAAATCATTTAAGCAACAGGTTTTCGAATCGTACCTTGAGGCTCTCCGGGTCTCAATGATGAAGTTGTGGGGCAAGCAACTTGCGGGGGACCCCAGGACAAGCAACTTGTGGGGGGACACCCCAGAGCAACTTGCGGGGGACCCCAGGACAAGCAACTTGTGGGGGGACACCCCAAAGCAACTTGCGGGGGACCCCAGGACAAGCAACTTGTGGGGGGACGTCAGGGCAAGCAATTTATGGGGGGACCCCAGGGCAAGAAACCTGTGGAGGGACCCCAGGACAAGCAACTTGTGGGGGGGGGACCCCAGAGCAACTTGTGGGGGAACCCCAGGGCAAGCAACTTGTGGGGGGACCCCAGGACAAGCAAAATGTGGAGGGGTACCCCAGGGTAAGCAGCTTGTGGGGAGGTACCCCAGGGCAAGCAACTTGTGGGGGGTACCCCAGGGCAAGCAACTTGTGGGGGGGTACCCCAGGGCAAGCAACTTGTGGGGGGGTACCCCAGGGCAAGCAACTTGTGGGGGGGACCCCAGGGCAAGCAACTTGTGGGGGGTACCCCAGGACAAGCAACTTGTGGGGGGGACCCCAGGGCAAGTAACTTGCAGGGGTACCCCAGGACAAGCAACTTGTGAGGGGTACCCCAGGACAAGCAACTTGTGGGGGGTACCCCAGGGCAAGCAACTTGTGAGGGGGACCCCAGGGCAAGCAACTTGTAGGGGGTACCCCAGGACAAGCAACTTGTGGGGGGTACCCTAGGACAAGCAACATGTGGGGGGGCACCCCAGGGCAAGCAACTTGTGAGAGAGAATGGGGTGCTAGTCTTGGTTGAATCTCCTCCTTCCCATTTAATCCAGCACTGTTAATTCTCCTTTCAATTTAATTTACAAATTCAGCAAAATTATCCGCTTAAGAGTAACATCTTTTTCCCAGGCATTTATGCACGCTGCATTTGCAAAAGCTTGCGTCTACAAGACGTTAGAGAAGAAAGTTACAATATAAATTACACTATTATATTAGGACTCTTGACATTAAGAAAACCTTTGCCAGATCACTTGTTACTAAGCTATCTCGCTTTTGAAGGTTAGGTTGTTGGACGGACTCTGCCCAAGCTGAATTTACTCCCTGTATGTTGTACAAACGGAGATAAATGGAATAAAACATCGACACTATAGGAAAGGAGACTAATGTAGTACAATGCGTTTCTTTATTGATAACGTTTCGCTCACACAGTGGGCTTCAAGTCACAAACATGTTTGTGACTTGATAAAGCCCACTGTGTGGGCGAAACGTTGCCAATAAAGAAGTGCATTATATCGCATGTGTGTCTCCTTTTCCATGTTGTACGAACATTATCAATGTGTGTACACGGTGATGAATCTATTTGTCGCCAATTGTATATGTACAACTACTGTTTCTGTCACCTTTTTCACTGTACTATAAGCAAAGACATCAAGGTAAGTTGATAGGGTTTTGTTGGTGGCAAGGATGAACCTGTGTTTATTTTTATTTTAAAAGCACTATGTTCTGTAAGCACGAATTATTTTATGTAACCATCAACCGTTATATTGCCTAGTAAATATCTGACCAGGTGCACTGGCTAGTTTACCCAGGTGAGAGTGTCCCTCGTATATATTATCCACAATCAGATACACTTCTTGTCCTGTTTTTCCTAGTACGTCGAGCAATCTGCATTTCCCGGCAACAACATTGTGCAATACTTTGTTTTGGCATTAATTTCGTTTTCAGTGTTGAATATAAGGGCGATAATCTTCCCTCTGGTAAGGGAAAGACACCGGTCTTGACTCAACAATGGATGAAACATACAATCAAAAGTAATACAAGTTCTAGTGTTATATCCTCGCGGAGTATATCACACCGCCAGATGTGTATTTCGGTGTATATGTGCATATATTTATTTAGTCTCTAATTTTGGGACTTATGTACTCTTGACTGGTGAGGTACAAGCGACTTACGCCCGATAATGATTCGCTAGAAACCCATTTTTAAACCTTAACTTCCTACTCATTTCTACCACTGTTTAATCAGTGTAATTATTATACATTTAATAATAATAATATTATTATACGAGTACAAGCCATTTAGCAATATTTTACGAATTACTTGCGACACATTAACAGGACAATACTCACCATCATACTTCACTACAGACATGCGCACATATGCGTGTACGCACGCACGCGCGTGGGTGGATGCATGCGCGCAAGCAGACGCAAGCGCGCACGCACGCACGCACACGCGACGCACACACACACACACACACCACACACACACACACACACACACACACGACAGGGACTCGAACTATGGTACTAACAGGTAGCAGGATCAGCGCTCTACCACTGAACTACGAGGCTTACAATAGGAAGGAAGGTTTCAGAGACAGCACTTTCGTGACATGAACCTTACTGTCCCTTACCACAGAAGCTTTCATATAGTACATCTGTTCTTATACCCATCGAAGCCAATCTATAAACTCAAGATAAGTCTTAATGGACGGGGACTTGACTCGTTCGAGAGGTCCTGACAGGACCACAAGCTTAAGGTAGTAATATGAGTAGAGGTAGCAGTACCCTGGAGCAGATGAGTACCACCTGAACGTCAGGTAAATTCCCTGGAAAGCCGTAGCGGGCTTCTCCCCCGTCCTCTCTCCCAACCCATCAACCGCCACCTACCCTCCACACAATCTGGAAAACCTGTGGTCCGGAGAGTATAGTTGGTGGTGCGAGGGAAAGGCAGGGGTCATGGATTGTTATAGAAATAACTGTCAAATACAACTGTATTTTCAATGATAGATGCATAGCGAGAACAAACGTAGCTCTGTTTTATGAAGGGATTCAGAGCAGTGTGCGGGGTGAGGACTTGTTACCGAGGTTGTTCATCTGAAGGAGTTAGGGAAGGGGGGGTTACCTGGAGGTTATTCCGGGGATCAACGCCCCCGCGGCCCGGGCCATGACCAGGCCTACCGATGGATCAGGGCCTGATCAACTAGGCTGTTACTGCTGGCCGCACGCAGTCCAACATATGAGCCACAGCCCGGCTGATCCGGCACTGACTTTAGGTATCTGTCCAGCTCTCTCTTGAAGGCAGCCAGGGGCTTATTGGCAATTCCCCTAATGCTTGATGGGAGGCTGTTGAACAGTTTTGGACCCCGGACACTTATGGTGTTTTCCCTTAGTGTACCAATGGCGCCCCTACTTTTTATTGGGGGCATTTTGCATCGCCTGCCCAGTCTTTTACTTTCGCAGGGAGTGATTTCTGTGTGCAGATTTGGGACCATTCCTTCCAAGATTTTCCAAGTGTAGATTATGATATATCTCTCCCTCCTGCGTTCCAACGAGTACAAGTCAAGTGCTTCCAAGCGTTCCCAGTAGTTAAGGTGCTTGACAGAACTTATACGTGCAGTAAAGGATCTCTGTACACTCTCTAGATCTGCGATTTCACCTGCTTTGAATGTAGATGTTAATGTACAGCAGTATTCCAGCCTAGAGAGAACAAGTGATTTGAAAAGGATCATCATTGGCTTGGCATCTCTCGTTTTGAACGTTCTCATTATCCATCCTATCATTTTCTTTGCACGTGCGATCGTGGCACTGTTGTGATCCTTGAAAGTGAGATCCTC